GACCACAGATTAAAGTCAGGGTCCTGCTTACTTGCCCAAAAAAAACAAGATCCTACCTGGTGTGAGTCCTTTGGAAAGATGTGCGTAACAACCACCAAAACTTCAGGAATATTGATACTTAGCAGCTGAAAGTTTATCTGGAACTGTACTTTGAAATATAGTATGAAAGCCTACATAAAACCAGAATTATTTTAATTTTTCAACCTCTTTGTTTTGTGTTTTTGTGTGAAACTATAACAAATAGAATCTATCTCCAGAGATGCAGTATGTACTGTTAAACATTGGTTTTACAGTCAACAAAGGACATCATATTCTAATCAGTTTGCAATGCCAATGAATTAGAGTTTTTGAAATGACTACAAACAAATAACAAGTTGAAAGCAATAAGCTTATATTTTTGGTACATAATAATGACTGAATTTAGAAGTAGGGATTCTTAAGAGCCATTCAGCCAGATACTGTAGTTGCAGCAGTTTCTCTGCAATACAGAGCAGCTGCTCAAAAATCAGTTAAAAAACCAAACAAGCAAAAAACTGCAATCCAAGTTTCATGGAAGTTAGTTTTATGTCTATAACATAATAATATAGAGTGCCACAAATATTAAAAGTGTCTGACATCCTTCGCTGGCATCTTAAACCCTATTAAAACATCTGTTTCCACATGAAGAAAGGCATTACAGTCATATTTTGCCTTCAGAATACGCCAGCCTCTCCCCTCACCACCAGAAAACTTCTATAAGAAGAAATGACAGGTTAATACCACAACCTGAGTCCCAGTGGGGAAGGAGGCAGGGGACAAGTGTAGAACCCCTTCCCCCTGCACCACCAACAGATGAGCTCACACACAGCAAGGAGCTAACCAAAGTCAGTAATACCAGTTAACAGGGCCTGTAATGAAGCCCAAAGTCCACAAAAAGACTCGGTGAGAAGGGGTATCTGGTATAACAGAAAATATTCAACAGAAAATTTGGACTGTGTTCAAAGAAGTCAAATCCTCAGACTTTTAACTCAAATATTTAATTTCAATTACTTGTATGACAGGGAAGACCATGTCAGAAGGACAGTTTCATCTCCTTGCTACTTTTCATCAACCTCTTCAGCAGCACACTTACAGAGTCCTACAAGCAGGGAAAACTGTTTCAGGCAACTAGTCATCTTAAAAAAACCTGCCTCAGGTAGTTAATTGCCTTAAAATACTCTACTTCACAACTGTTAAAATAACAAGCACTGACTACTAAGAGAAAAATGAAGACATAATGACCCTTTAAAGAGTCTTTCCATCATATTTCAGTAGTTAACATTAAAACAGAAGTATTATTTGTTTATATGAGAGAAGATTTCCCTGGACTCAAACAGTTAATTCAGTTGTCCATGTAGACCTGTTCACTGTGCCTGGAATTTTAACTCGGGCTACATTCCACAAATCCCAAATTGCAAATTTAAATTAATGCTACAGTGAAAACATGATACCTAGTCAAAAAGAAAGGCAAGGGGGCAAGAGAAGACAAAAAGGAATGTATCCCAAGCGTCACTAACACCTGACATCCTGCCAGTAGTTAACACCTTGGAGCTAACAGAAATACACCATGCTTTTGCCTTGTTCAAAGGCACTTAAGATCTCCTTACAGTCCTTAGCTTTGTAACAAAACTTTATATGAAATTGTTATCTAATAGAAACAAAAAGAAAGGAGATCCAACTGTAAAGCAACTGAAACAGCACTCTAACAAGTCAATCTACATAACCTTTTAACAATGATCTCACTGTTACCAGGGGGTAAAAAAACCCAGAAATTAAAAAAGCTGGCTCATACTCTCTCCTCTCATATACCTGACAGTATGCAGAACTTACTCAGATTCATACAGTCTTCTTTTGCCATTAAATATGTATCTGAAAACCTGAATGCATACTCATGTTATTTTCAGAACACCTACATAGAAGGTGAACATCTTTTTAACCCTCTAGTAAGGAAAGCTTTAAATATTGTGCTTTTTTTATTTGTCTCACAGCATTGCTGAAGAATGGGATGTTTTGCTGTTTAATAAGAGCTAAGACGATCCTATAATGTATGAGAGAATCTAAGAAAGGAACTAATCCTCACCCTGCAAACCAACTTGGAATGAGAAAACTTTTGCTGAATCTATTTGAAACCTACAAAGAAGTCACACGGCACGGCTATGCAGATGACTAGCCAAAAAAAAAAATAAATAAAATAAACCCTCTTTTCTCCTTTTCGTTTCTCTATCAAAAGAAGGAGAGAACGGGAAGAAGCGGACAGAAACAGGGAATCCCGACCAGCACAACGTTTCTGCTTTACCATATGGCCCCAACACTTTGTTAACTCCTTGGCCGTAGCAGATGTTTTTGTGTATTGGCCAGAACTAAGGACAATGACACAGGATAGTTTTCTTCAGGTAGGAAGTGCCAGATTTCCTGGTAAGTGGAGGTTTTAATGGCAGGGCCAATCACCTCTTTTGCTGATCTTCTGTAGGGACCAATAAACAAGGTAGAAAAGGAACCAGCTCTAGAGGTAAGAAGATAAGACTGTCTTTCCAGCCACAGTTAATGCACCAGGATGGCTCCCAAACAGAGAGAAAAAGCCAGGGGGAGGGGAAAGAAAAAAACACAAACCCCAAAACAACAACCAAGCCTCCACAACAAAAGTTTACAGTACAAGAATAGTCGTGTTAAGTTTAACACTAGATAAACAGAAGAAAAGTTTACAGTATAATAACTCGATGCCATAGCCCAGTATTATTCACTAGCATACTGGAAGTGCAATCTCTCTTTAATAATCACATGTTCTGTGAGAAAGCACAGCATAATTTTGCGCTTTTACTTTTTATACTACAGACAAGCCAATTACTGATGCATCTCCTCTATGCTCACTTCTCATTAACATATGATACTCACCTGTAAGAACCAAGTGCATTTAGACTCCTAGGGGAAAAAAAGTCTCATACCTATTTATTTTAAAGGTTAAAGGGTTAACATTTTTCTAGCCTTTTTCTTTAATAAATATTTGCAAGTCAAAAATAAACCCGCTGCTGAGAAATCTCTATTAACCAGAAGCTATTAGCTAACTGATCCTGATGCTTCAATGCACAGTGACTTAAGTTGGTTTTAATTCCTAAAAAAAAAGGAACCAAAACCAGCCTAAAGCAAGACACAATACATTCTACATTGCAGAACTAGTTGATAAAGACTCAGAGGTTTTTTTTTAAATAAAATGAGTGCAGAAACGAGGTCCAAAAGTGATGAAGATGAAAGATACCTGGAATGATATCGCATCTTATACACCTTTTGTTTTCTGAGCGATACACGCTGCAGACAAAACATTTTGTGCTAAACAGCCTTAAATCTGGTTTTCTAATATTAAGCACAAAGGAAAAACACTGACAGCAAGCGTGGTAAATAAATCCCTCCCTTGAGAACGAAAGCAGCAGACAGGAGGGGGCTGACACGCATGCAGGAGAAAACTAAACACCATCTTTTTTTTTCTACCTGCACAAGTTGCCATTTGCTGCAGCAATCAAGAATCCCTTTTCCCCGTTGATTTCAAAAGCTAGGTTTTCAGAAAATTTCTCTCGCAAGTCATCTGTTGATAGGCTCTAAGAGTATTATATTCATATCACTGGATCTTTAAGAGAAAAATCCATTTTCTTTCCTGTTCAGGTAAACATGTTTACAGCTCCTGCACAGACACTGGGTGGTTCAGACTCACATGTCACACACATGTCGTCAGCAACAAGAAAAGCCCCTTTCTCTGATCATCCACATTTTTAATAAGGTAAAGAGAAAAGCACTTTCCAAACTTACCTTTAGCACAGCCAAATCATGAGCTAAATATAAATATTTACACAAGGACAAGGAATTAATAACATGAGCGTGCAAACAAAAATACTTGCTAGAAAACGCACACAGAAAAAAATAAGAAAACCCTTTTAAGTTCAACGCAATCAAACCAACCCGTTAGCCCCTGGAAAGGCCGTCATTTATCACCGTTACGCCCCGAACAGTCAGGATTAGAGAGCTGAAGCACCGATCGCGACTCTGATCTATTTCAGAGACCATTCACTGCGTATGAAAACATCTCAGATCGCAGGCAAAGCCTTCCTATTTGTGACCCTGCACAGGAAATGCCACATGAAACCTAAAATTGCCAAGGAGGGTTACAAAATCTCCTGCTTTACATCCTACTGCGAAGAGTCGTGCTACGAGGACCGAACTACTTCTCCATTTTCCAGAAAATAAGTAGAGTGGATGTTACGAGCGTTTATTCCCCCCGCCGTGTACCTTCCCAATGCATCTTAAAGTAACACACGTACCAAAAAGGGGGGGGAACCACCACCCCACAGCAGCCCTTAAGTCTGAAATGTAAATGTAATTCCTTATATAGACTGCAGCAGCTGGTCACACACGCACGGAGAGCAGAGAGCGGGGGCCCCCGGCCAAACCGTTACCACCCATTATTATACAAACAGGTACCTCCGAAGACAAGAGGGGAAGAAACTTCGCCGCCCGGGCGCAGCCCTCCCTCCCTGCCTGCCTTGCCCACGGCCCCGGCGGGGCGGCCGCGGGGCGCTGCGGGGACCAACTCTCGGCGGGGCGGAGAGGCGGGAGCGGGCGGGGGGGCGCCGGCCCAGGGCGGCCGCGCTGCCCCCGCGCGAATCGCTGCCCGGGGCGGCGGCGGAGCCTCCTCCGTGTGTGTGCTCCCCGCCGGGGCTGCCCCCGGCGTGCCCCCACCGCCGCCCCGCAGCGAGGAGCCGGCCCGCTGCCCCGGCGAGGGGGGCACTCCGGCGGGCGGCACGGGCGCTGCCGGGCGGGCGGCGGGGCGATCCCCGCCCGCGGGGCCGGGGGGAGGCGCGGGGGAGGCCCCGCTCCGCCGGGGCAGCGCGCAGGTAACAAGTTTCGGAGTTGGGGCTGGCGCGGCCGGGCGGGCGGAGGGCGCTCCCCCGGCGCTCCCCGCGGGGCTCCCCGTCCCCACCCGGGCCGGAGGGCGGCGGCGCGGCCGGGGGGCCCCGATCCCGCTGCCGGCGGCGGGGCGGGCGCGGGGCGTGCGGGGGAAGCGGCGTGTAACGGTCCCGGACAGCGGCGGAGTGCGGAGGCACCGCTAGGCGGAGGAGGGAGGCGGCGGCGAGGGAGGCTCCAGGTAGCGGATATAACGGTGCGGAGGGAGCCGCGCTCCCGGCGGAGCCGCGGCGGGGGGAATTACTTTGGCGCTCGCCCGCCCGCCCGACCTCCCCCCTGCGCGCTCGGGACGGCCGTGCCCGGCCCCCGCCCCGGCCCCGCCACCGCCCCGGCGCTGCCCCGCGGGTGACTGACCGTTGTTGCGGCGCGGGTTCGGCTGCTTCCTGCGCTTACACCTGGGGCCATCCGCCATGATCCGCTCGCTGGTGTCTAAATGCTCCAGTCACCTCCTCCCCCGCCCGCCCCCCTCCCTCCCTCCCTCCCCTCCCCCCCGGACCTGGTTTACGACACTGGGTGGTTTTACTTTTACATCACCTTCCTACACCTAGTGCTCGCCCGGAACCTTGTTGCCAGGGGTGACCGGGCGCTTTACGGCAGCGCGTTTGAACGGCGGCGGGGGAAAAAGTTGCGCCCGCAGGTACCGGGGGCGGCGGCACCGCCCGGGCGGGCCCAGGCACACCGACCCCCGGCCGGGGAACCGGGCTATCCCCGCCGGGTGTCGGTGGGCGCCAGCCCACGGAGGGGGGTTCCCGCGGGGGAGCATCGCCGCGCTGAGGGACCGGGCCGCCCCGGGAGCGCCTCCAGGTGCGACCCCCGCAGCGCCCCCAGGTGCGGCGGGGCCGGGCCGGGGCCGGGCCGGGCGGGGCTGTGCCCGTCACCTGGAGGGGCTGGTTCGGCGGTGACGGGCGTCCTGCGTTACAGCTCCAATGGAGAGACAAACAGCTGGACGAGAGTGACGCTGTTCTTGCTGAACCTGCCGTTCTTGCGCTTTCCTGAGTCATACTTCCCGCTTTCGCGGAGAAGAGGTATAAAATTCTATGCCTCTAAAAAAAAAATAATAAAGGGAAAGGAGCAAATTTTCACGAATAATTAATGGAAGACCTCCTTTGGGCTTAATAAACTTACTAAATGTATTAAAAATTAAAGCATTACCGCCAAACGCTTGTGCTATTTATTAACTCTTGCTTTTCGCTTCAGGCAATAAAATAATTTAGTGAGTTTGTTTCTAGGCTTCCTTATTTCTCTCTTTTTTTTTCCCCTCCTTATCCTAGGATGATTCTGTAGAAACTGAAATTCTGTGCTTCTTGGGAATTCTTTTATCTAAACAGATGAAATTTCAGTGCAAGTGTTTCTGTTAATGGGATACTTTCAATAAGAAATTGATACACTGCAGAACTTGAGGTCTTTAGCAATTCCACATCATTTCCACATGCTGTATGTTCACATTCTGTAACATATCACCTCATTTCATGGAAGTGGCATAGCGTGTCTCTAGAAAAGGAACTATTGAACACTGCCGGTTTGTGGGCATACCTTGCATCCCCCTAAAAGCCAGTACAATCAGAAGTGCTTAGAAAAGAAGTATTGCTCTAAAATGGAGGCAGAATTAGGTAAAGATCCAAAGGGATATTTTCCAAATTAATCGTACCAGCAAAAGTGTACAAGAGTACACGTGAGTGTACAAGTGTACAAGTTTTCACATGAAAACATTTTTGCAGGTAAAAATCATTTGTCGGGTATCTCTAAAAAAATTGGTAAATTTAGGTGTATTGTTTTTACATATGTATCTTTACTCAGTGTTGGTTGGCTGCTGACCTCAACATTTTAATAAGGATCTACCTGAGAGTCATTAAAAAAGGTTAACAAATCAAACAATACCACATGTTCGATGGACTAATAGAAGTCATTTAAAAGCATTAGGAACCCCAAATACAAGGGTAGCTAAGAACTGTGACATGAAACCAACTGCAAGATAAAAGTGAAACTTGTCAGCAAGATTTTGAGTGAACGGATTGCAAGCTTTAGGGCAGAATTTTGTTGGTGCTTCAACCTCCTTGCTTGTCAAGTTTTTGTGCAGGAGATACCTGTCACTGTGAAACTGTTTGCAAATGAGGGTTTAAGGTGCTTTGGAATTCTTGGGTGCTTTTTATCATTCAGTGGATGAATTTAAGCAAAATATCACGTACAGGTTTTCATACTAAGTTTTTCGTTCCTTAAAATTAGTCATGGTTTTAGAAGGTAGTTGCAAATAAAAAATAATCTACAAATGTATTTGTAGATTTGTAAGAATATTCCCCTGCATGCCCACACAAAATTCCAGGCCCTCTTTAAGCAACTTTGAAGACCTTATTTGCTTTGAGTTTTGTCACTTTCCACTTCTGGATAAGAATTCTTGTGTCTTCATTTTTGAGCAATTTCTGAGCAGAATCAAGAAAGAAATCGTCTCCTGGTGTTTGTTTTGCTCTTTTTCCAATAGCCATAGTGTCTGTTTGAGCACTAGTCTCTTGAGATTTCCAAGCAGCTGGGAGAAACTGGTGACAACTCCTGCTGGCCATTAGTTTCTGAAGAGCAGAACTGAAACTGGCAGGAGCCTTGGTAGCTCTACACTGCTATAGTTTTGATAAATGAGAAGAGAAAACCAAAGCAATCTTTGTATATGTTATCTTTCATACCAAGGAGGTCTAGAAACCAAAAAAACAGAGGATAGTGTTTTGCATCAAGTTATTGATGACCCCAATCACTATTCATTGTGAAAGGTGTCTCATTCACAACTTGTAAATAGATGTGTGGATGGGTTGCTTTTTTGGTTTTTAAACTTTGATATGTTTAATCCAAGCAACTGGGCGCTTCACATCTTAGTATACGAAGTTCTCATTATTTAATGTGCTGAATTAAGGATGCAGCCACTGACAAACAATTTTGACCTATTACTTTCTTCTAATCCTGGATGCAAACACACTAGTTAAAATTCTTGCTATTTTTGTCATGTTCTGCAGTATATGAACACACTGTATATGTAGTTTAAACTGGTTTGTGCTGCAAGAGTGGAAAATCCTATTTTTCTTTATGGTGCACATGTTTCAATCTGACTTTTCAGTCAAGGATGCAGACATTAATTAATGTATTCTTTGGAAAATCTTAGCAAAGCAGTATGTTTCTTCATCCTCCTAAATGTGGTAATCTTGAGAAGATGTCTCTTTAAAAGAGGAGTTCTGATACAGTGGTTATCCATGATAATTAGATGGTTTCTAGTAATTTGTATGGGAATTTAGGCAACCTAAATAGCTATATTGTAGTTGAAACCTGAGATTGCATAGCTGCTGTACTTCACCCTTTTTGAAATTTATTTCCATTGTCTGAAGATAGGAATTAAAATACTTCCATAGTCACACTGTTGTAAGGATGTTCAAAAACTAACTAATGACTCTTATAGACAGCTTTTCCTGTTTTAAAAATACTCATGTATGTTGTGTTATGATTTATGATCTCTTAAGTATGTATCATTAAATAAAAACAATCAGTCCTCTGTTTGTAGGCCTACTCCTCGTTCATGTTCATGAAATGCAGTTTCACATCCTATCTTGAGTATTGCAGATTTAATGGTGTTCATTTAGTTTAATGAATTTAGAATCACAGTGGCAAATGACTCAGTATATTGTTTCTTGTTTCATTTCCAGTTTGTGGAGATTCTTTTTTTCTTTTTTTTTTTCTGATTTCCATTAGCGAAAACCTATTTTCAATTCTATGTATTTCTTGGAATGTCAGTTCCTAAAATTTATTTTTCAACTGATTATTTTTTCTTTTAGGTTTTTTTTTAAATACGTTTTCACTCCTCTATAGAAACTGTAGTTGGAAGATTTACCGGGAAAACAATGACACAGAAATACGCAGCTTGACTGCAGCTAGCTGAGGAACTAATCTTGAATAAAATGTTGATTTTAGAGATATCAATATACAGGTTTAGTGCCCTTTCAGATGGTTTTCCAGTTTCTGTTTAAGCTTCCAAATGAATCTAATCCATATTGAAGGTGTACCCTGGGATACTGTACAGTCCCAAAAAATAGTAAATCTGCTTGAAATTTGCACATTCACTTAGAGCACAGTTTGTAAATATTTATCAAGAGAAATTATCTTTTTTCACTTTCCTCATCTTATAATCTTGGTTTCTGTTTCTGTATTTTACCATGAATTTATTTGTTAATTTAAAGCTTGAGGCTACGATGTCTAATAAATTGTCATGTCTCACACAATTTGAGAAGACTGTACCTGCTTGAAAGATGTAAGTGTAAGGATGTAAACTGCCATAAGGCATCAATATGTACATAGCTATAGATAGCTACAATGACTTGCATATATGCAATTGACTTTTCTAACATCTTCCTTGTTAAGAAAAAGTGTTTGTGAAGGGCACAAAGGCCTTCAAATCCATTTTGTTTCTCTTGCTCTCTTTTTGCCCTACTTGTTGCATACTGCTTTTCTCTTGAAAGCAATTAACCTGTGCTGATACCTGTGTCAGGTTGGTGTGCTGTATAAAATAAACGTACTAAAACATAACAAGGACCTACAGTTCCATTTTTATGCTAATTTTAACTTTCAGTGTGATCTCTGTTTCAGAGCCTTCGCACATGCAAAAAATTATTTGAGAAAAGGAAAAAAACTTGAAAAGGTCATTTCACATTCTTCATCCAAAAGACAAATCTTGCATATTCAAAATGGAATTGGAATGCAGATTTGGGTATAAGTGGTGGATAGCGAGCAGTTGTGATTTTTTTGTTTGTTTGTTTTTAAAATACCCAAAACTTTAGCTGAGAATGTCTACTGTAATATTTTATTTTCTGCCACTAGATGCAGTAGCAAAATGCTGTATCAAAATACTACTTTTTGTTTTAAATTTCATCTGAATTTGTGACTGATCAAATTACCCTTGTAGTGCAGTTAGATTACCCAGCTTTATTAGTAGCACGTTTTCCATTTATCTTTGTTTATGATGACTCTGCATAAGTGTTCTTATCCTTTATATTATCTAATTAAACACTAATGGATTGTGAATACTTTCCCATAGGGTTCATGTTTGTTTCCTTCTGTAATTTCCACTCTATTTCTGATTTGGTTCTGCTCACCAGCCCCCTTGCTGTTTGCTGTCTCACAGTTTTGTGCAATTGCTCATTTGGCTCTCATTTGGGGTTATTCCCTTTGTTATGATATCTGTACAGCTGGCTCATTCAGCTTTTTAAATCCCAACTTAAAATTGATTTCTTAATTATGTAATTGTATATTCTTCTCATTTATATTTGGGGGGGTTTAGTTGCTGAAACACATTCTGATGTTAGGCATTATTCATTTGTTATCTCTCATTTGTCTTTTTTTTTCTCACTGTAAAATGCATAATGCTTCTCTAGGGAATGTTTGTTAATACATAAAAGGAAAGCTGTTGTGTTGGAGCTTGCAGTGTGTCTTCTGAATATACAGAATTAACATAAAGAAAACAAGAAAAAAGTATGAGAGTCTATCAAAACAAACAAATAAATAGAATTAAGAGTCTCATTTTGCTTAAGAGACCTCAACAAAACGTCAGTCAATGCCATAAGGAGAAACACAGATATTGTAATGGTTATTTCTGGGATGTGAAGAGAAGCTTTGGTGCACTCAGCATAGTTGGTCTGATTTTCAGGTTTGGCGAGGTCTGTCTGGTAGTTAGAAACATATGGTGTTAAAATGCACAATAGTATGTTTGAAACTCAGATGCATAGACCAAACTTGTTGAAACTAAAGAGCAGTGTAAAATTCTAGTATAATTATATCAGAGTTTAGTTTATTGGAGCAGGGAACAGCAGTTCAGTGCAAGAATGATCATGTGTTGATACAGAATTGGAAAGGGATTATGATTTTCATGTGGGACTATGCATATCAAGAATTTTTGGTTACAATATCAAAAAGGAAAGCCTAGTTTGGATCCATCCAAACAATAAAATTTTCTGTTTTCCCTTGTGGAAGCAAAAGCCTAAAAAGATTTTGTGTGGGATCAAATAAAAATCTTTTTTTACCCAAGTATTAAAAGTCTGGATTAGAGCAATTGTTACAATCAGGGCAGGTGGTCCAGGGGTTTCTATGAACTAAATTATTTGAAAATTTCCTTTACTAGGTTCCTTGTTCTTACTGGGGAGCTTTGAGCAGAGATGTCTGTGGTGGGCAGTACCTTAAATCCCTGGACTTTAGC